GTCTCTGCCCTTGGCTTTCCCAAGGCATCGCAGCATGTTCCAAGGCTCATCCTCTACATTTGGTTGTTTTACACCAGTAAATTTAGCATAGTAACCATCTAAGATCCCTTTGATGCGGTTATACTAAAAAGTTATTTTTTGACAAAAAAAAAAGGTGCAGGCACAGCATTATGCAGAACTAAAAAATTGATTGTTTTTCTTTTATAAAATAAATAAAAATGACATGAGTTAATAGATTAATATTAATCATATGATGGGGGAGCTTTTTAATTTTTGATCTGACAGTGAAAATGTTTTATGTTTAGGAAAGCAATAATTTAAATTTCATCGGAAAAATGTAATTTTCTGGAATAAATTAGTTCTATTTTTGTTAATATATTATTTTAGCTATGATGTTTATCGAATAAAAACCAAAAGTAATTAAAATAAATATGTAAAAAAAGTTATTTAAAATGTTGCCATGGCATCTGAAACTCGTGTGGTAAATCCCAAGGGACTTGACAGCATGCGAATGGAGTCCCTTTGATTTTCTTTCCCTGGGAGCCTCATGAGCTGCCGGTCTAATTCTCAAGAACTGGATGCGTTTGTGTTCAAAAATCATCAGCTGTCACAAGTTTCTGACTCTAAGAAACTGAAAACATCAACATTGTTCATGTTATCCGTATGAACCCTCTGACATCGTCAGACAGCGAAAAGTCCTGTTCTAATTCTGAAATCTTGACAGCATCCTCACCTCAGTGAGTCTCAAACTGGAAAAAGCAATATTGAGGCGATGATAAGAGCACATACTCTTACTACTTAGCTTTCCTGGACACAGGTTAATTTTTGCAGGTTTTATTATAGCAAACGTTTCGGGTAAATTCTCTGTAAAGAGGGAGTTATTTTAGCACAGAGGCTTGTAAACATAGAGGAATTATACACACACTTGGGGAAGAAACAGCTCTCTCCCATCTGTTGTACCATGAACAAAAGGAAGCAGCCGCTTCTTGCCCCACATCTGCCATGCTAGTCTGTCAAATGTATTTACCGGTACAGTCATCCTTCATCCATGGAAGTAGAGTTTCTCATCTGAGATTCGAATAAGTTGCTAAGACCTATGTTCTAATGATTCCATTATCTCACAGAGGTTAAGCTCTAGTCAGCTTACAAGCTTCATCTGCCATCTCTCTTTGAAAGGCATTTTTATGGTAAAATCTACTGCAATGCCATGAGCCTGAACGCAGGACAATATCTTTAGTCATGTCACGGATTTGGGCTAATATCATTAATTTCAACCACCAGATAAGTAATCAACCTTCCCCTTTTACAGACTTTGCTTGGCTGAGCTACCTTCAGCTTTCTGTTTGAACTTAAAAAGCTTGACATATTCATGTGGACTGTCTTAATGCATTAATTAATCCAGTTACTGATCAAATTATTTTAATCTATATGTGAAGATTGTAGACTCTTTTGTTAAATTAATCTAAGCATCAATTAATCATGTTTTAATATTAATTTATTTTAATCAAATCATCATGCTTCCTAGCATTACCAAGAGGCTATGGCCATCGAAGTATAGTCTCATTTATGTCCTTTGCCCCCGTGCACTACACCGGACACTGAAGAAACGTTCACAAATTTATATCAGGCAAATATTAGGTTTCAGCCATTGATAAAAAGGTCAGAAAAGAGGGCATACTTTATTTTTTATCATATAGATTCATCAATGTTTTACTTCTACCCCTATAGTTTTAAAATTCCCACTATCATCTTTTTTTTTTTGTTATAATCTATTTTTTAAAAAAAACCAATTACTTTTGAGATTCTCTTTATTTTGAAGTGTTTTTGTGAGACAAGATAGCATTTTCTGATATAATCAAGCTTTTGTTTTGAGTCATGAAATGGTAAAAATATAAAAATAAAATAAATTTACTAAGGGATTGACCTTGTGTTCATGAAGATTTCCTCTTTCTCTTTATTTTTTTTTAATTCTAATATCATCTTGTCATGTAGGATTTATTCTCTTGACATGGGGCTATGTCTTTAAAATCATTCATGATTGATATTTAATTTTGATGACACAACCTAATCTAAAAAAAATCATTTATATAGTGTTTGTAAATGTAATAATAATTGCTTTTAAACAAAGTATTTTTATTTAGAATATCAAAACTATTAAAAATCTTTTAAAAAAATTGATTTAAAGCAAAAAAACTATTAAACATCTTTTAAAAAAATTGATTTAAAGCAAATAAAAGTTTCAAGAAATATTTTTTCAACACAAAAACAAACACAATTTTACTTTCAGACCGAGCAAAAAGATAGTAAAAGGAAATTGATAACTTTTTAAAAATTACAGGGGTATGATTGAAAAAGCATAAATTATTGAAATACAAGTGGAGTATTAATGAAACTTCAAAGGGGGGATTATAGTTTATCAGAAAAAACACAAACACAGATGAGTCTATGACATAACAAAAAAACCGAACCGTTTTTTGTTATTTTAAGAGACTTCCCGTTCGCAAACCCGCCACTCTTCTTCTTTTCCTTGTAAACTCCAAAATATCAGAAGATCACGCAAAAAAAAAAACAGTCAAATCAGACTGAATTTGCTAAACCAATCGAATGGACAAAGGGAAAGCGGTGATGGGATCAGGGAGAAGATGGGCCGTTGATTTCACTGACAATTCAACCACTCCTTCTTCTCGTGATATCCCTGATCCTCCAGGCTTCTATCGCACCTCTCAAGACCAGGTACAGTTCCCATAATCCCCTTCTCTCTCTGATGATTTGATTTGATCAATTTTTTTTGTGGGTTTTTTTTTTGTGATATGTTTTGCAGGATGATTCGGCCGTCACCAAGCAAAAAAAGGATGCTGAAGCTAATTGGAAATCTCAGGTTTCTTTTCTTTTTTCTTTTTATTTTTTGTTAATTTTTTTTTTTTAGAAAAAACCTGGGGTTTTGTTGTTGATTGAAAATTTTTGTTTTTTCTAAAAAAAACCTGGGGTTTTGTTGTTGATTGAAAAAAAAACTTGTGGGTTTTTGTTTTTGAATTATTGGCTTGGAGGAATTAATTTATATGCGTAGAAATAAGAGAAATTTCGCGATTTATGATTACTACATTTAGTAGCTTCAGAGATGCATGGGACTGTAAAGAAAGTTGATATTCTATTTATAGAGGGTCTTAACAAGTTCAGGTTTTTATCTTTAATGGGTAGTGTGTAAAAGGGTAGAATATAAAAGGGAGCTACTGTGAGGATTATTTTGTGTAGTTTTTTTGAAAAATAGTTTAGTAGCAAAAAATATTTGGCAAAATAGGACAGTTTGATGAATGAACATTTCATTTACCTTAGCAGGTTGCTCAAGCCTGCTACAAAGCAATTACTATACAAACTGAAGAATCAAATAACTATTGCAAACTCCAGTCAATTACAAATAGCTATATACTTTGAATTGTTCAGTGCCTTCTGCAATGGCAACGTCTTATATAGCGTCAACTGGACAAAATTCTTAACCATCTCTTTGAGAGATTCGACAGTGAAGTTGTTTGG